AACGCACCGGTCCACATCATCAAAAGGCTGGGGCGATGGAAATCCTCCATATATAACGCATATATTCCGCAACCAGAGAATTTTTGCATTTTTTCGGTTTGTGTTCAACTGCAATTTGCATCGCTCTCATTTATTGAATCAATACATATTATATATCGTTTTTTAAAGGACAAGATGGGCTTTACTTTGATGTGACTTATACATATCTAAAATCTAATTTATTATTTTAAAAAAATGAAAAAATATATTTTTTTTTTCACAGTTTTGGCAATAATAGTGTGTGCATAATATGTCCATCTTAGGAAAAGTAATTCAAAATAAATTCATTTAGGTGTCTTGTTTTTCAAAGTGCATAATATGTAAAGGATTTCAGCTTATTTTAAAAGTTACAGGTCACAAAATACAAGGAGTAATATAAAATTTAAATGTGAAAAAATTTAGAAGTTCATATGTTTGACTTGTAAGTTTGACAGCCGTCACAGAAAACAAAATTGCTACACAAAAGTATATATTTATATAAAGAAGACATCACAGGCTATTTATTTAAGAGTATTTTGACACTTTTTGCCATTTTCCCACCAATTTCTGCTACATATTGTAGTAAAATTTTGTTTTTTTCTGTTTTTTGAAATACACACATATAACAAGGTTTTTTAAATGTGTATTTTGTAAAGCTGCTGTGTGCTATTCCTGATCAGAATCCCATTTTGTGTTCAGCTACATCTGCTGAGTACAACAATACCCCCGTTGTATGCCTTTGCCACTAGTTTTGGGAAGCTACAATGACATATAAGAGGCCAGACTATTTCAGTTTCTACAGTTAGAAAATTCAAAGATGGATTTAATGGACCTGTCTTATTTTGGGGCATTATAGTAGTTTGGTTGTTCAAATGACCACACAAAGGCCTTCCATTTGTGAAAGCAGACACTCCATGGTATCTCATATGACATATATTTTGCCTTAACGGGTCCCCATTTATTCACCATTAAATGTCAAAATTTGTGTTAAAAGAATATTTTTTGCATTTTTTACTTAAGCATTACATTTGTGCTGGGCATTTTGTATATTTGATATGTTCCACTATGATCAAACACCCCTAATTATGCTCAGCTAAGTCTTCTGAGTAAAACAATACCCCCAATGTATGTCTTTGACACTATTTCGTGATGCTACAGTGCCATAAAGGAGACCTGACCATTTCAGTTTTTAGAGTAGAATTTTGAGACTGATTTGCAGGGCTTATGTTTCAATTTGGGCCATTTTAGCAGATTGACTGTTTCAATAACCGCAAAAGGCCTACCAATTGTGAAAGTAGACACTCCAGGGTATCTCATATGGCATATATTGTGCCTTAACATGTCGCCATTTTTTCACCATTATATGTCAACGTTTGTGGTAAAAAATATATTTTTCACATTTTTAACTTATGCGTTACATTTGTGCTGGGCATTTTGTATATTTGATATGTTCCAATATGATCAAATAACCCAAATTATGCTGAGCTATCTCCTGTGAGTAAAACGATACCCCCAATGTATGCCTTTGGCCGTATTTCCTGAAGCAACACTGCCATATAGGAGACCTGACCATTTCAGTTTTTACAGAATTTTATAGGTTTATGACTCATTTTGGGGTCTAATAGCAGGTTGCTTATTCAAGATTCCCCCACAAAGGCCTACCGTTTTTAAAAGAAAACACCCCAGGGTATTTCAAAAGGCCCATTTTGAACTTTAGGGTGGGATCATTTTTTCGCTAGTGAGTACCATGTCTAGTAGTAGTAAGCATTTTCTCTGCCTTTTTGACACACACTTTGAGATTTTACTGCATAGTTTACAATCCTTAGGTGTGCTACGGCAGTATAACGCTTCATATGTCACTCAGCTATGTTGTCTGAGCACAGCAATACCCCCGTGTGTACCTTTCCCAGGTATATGGGAATGTTGAAGGGGCAAATTGGAGACTCGGTTTGTTACAAGCTTTGAATTTTCATGCAGGGACCATGTCCCATTTTGGGTCAAACACTGAGGCACTGTCTGTCACCTCTGAATCCGCTGTCATAATTCTCTAACTGTACTTCCTAAGCATTTTGAACTTTTTACACAATAACTTTAACAAAACAATGTTATAATAATGTTATTTTATTTTTTTGTGGATTTTTTTTTATTTGTATTTTTACTCCTAGCATACGCACTAAACTCCCCAATTTCCCAGGAACTATCATCCACCCCAATTAACTAAATAAAAGTTTTAAAAAAAAATAGAATAAATATATATATATATATATATATATATATATATATATATATATATATATATATATATATATATATATATATATATATATATATATATATACACATATATTTCAGTGGTCAAATAACAGAAGAACTACAACAAGAATATTAATTGTATTGAGAATTTATTGGCCCTGAGTATGAAATAATTTAAAACAGTTCCCAATACAAAGGCTGAGAGGGACAATCAGGGCAGTAGAAACTGGTCTCTGTTTGAATGCCTCTCTAGTAACACAGCCTGCACCTTTTCTGGGGGGTCTATTTTGGGGGGGGTTGGTGGTATCCAAAAGCAGAAGTGACATGTCTGAATATCTCTGCTGCTAGGCCCTGCTGATGGCTCCCCACTGTGGCACTCAGTGAGCAGCACAGAAATGAGCTGAAACTGAAATGTAAGAAAAGTACATTTCAGCTGAGGATTTGCCTTTTTAAAAAGGATGAATGCATTGTGAGTAGCCATTTGCATTAAATAAATGCCCACTTTCTCATTATCAGATATGGCTGCAGCAGTTGATCAGACAGGTCCACTCCCCCCATGTGTTTATTGTATTACTTAATGCAGACAGGCAGTCGTCTTGTTTCCTGTCTGCCACGGACTTCAACCCTGCCTGTGTGTTCTGCGTGTGTGTTCACTGTGCATGGTAGTCAGTATGAACACCTCCTTTTTGTCTCTGTATTTCAGAGCCAGCAGTTCGTCCTGGCAGAGAGCAGCCGTTTCCCGCTTTTTAAATTTTTTTTCTGCCAGAGCCTTGGGGAAGCCAGTGCGTGTCTTGCGGATAGTGCCGCAGACCACAGTCTCAAAACAATATAGCATTTTTTGGAGGGGTATGCTATTGTAATAATTATCAAGGTAGAGGTGGCACCCCTTGTTCAGTAGCGGGTTCATTAGATCCCAAACTATTTTTCCGCTAGTCCCAACTACATCAGGGCAACCTGGGGGATCCCGGTGGCTATCTTTACCTTCATATACTCTGAAGGTATAAACATACCCACTGCTACTTTCACATAACTTGTATAGCTTGATGCCATACTGGGATCTTTTGGCTGGGATGTATTGCTTGAACCCCAGTCTACCCTTGTATTTCATTAGGGACTCGTCAATACATATATTCTTTTGGGGAGTATAAATTATGCCAAATTCTTTATTAAAATGGTTAATTAGGGGGCGGATTTTATAAAGTTTGTCATACTGCGGATGATCTTTGGGGTGTTTTATTATTTATTATTATCAAGTGCAGAAAACGCAGTACTAATTCGTACTACTCATGGTCTGAGAGAAAATGGGAGTATTGCATACTGGGTTTTTGGACCAGTACATTCGGATGCTGGGCTTTTTTATAATTCCCATTAGCATGGTTAGTGCCCAGAACTGTTTTAACTCTGCCCTAAAAAATCATCCCCAAGGAACAGCTCCATAAAATCCTGGGAGTTATAACTGGTCAGTCTCCCTGAATACTAGGAGTCGCAGTGAAGAGAGGGATGTTGGGGACAAAATTGTTAGGGGGCACCCAGATATCAGCGCCAGGAGCAGTGCCAGGGGTATTGTCACTTTCTTCATCTCTGTCTGGCACATAGTCACCCTCTGCACTTTCTGAGGCAGTGTCGGTTGCCTCTGAGTCGGCTGCTAATATATTATATGCCTCCTCGGCACTAAATCTTCTAAGACTGGTGAAAGCTTAAAATTAACTTTAACTGGGGGGCGGAGCGATGACGTGACGTGCACGTGGTGACGTCGCGCGGGTGAGAGGAGCAGAGGAGGAGGAAGCAGTAATGGACGCTGCAATGCTGTAATGCTGCCGACCCTTGAGCCGACCCCTGAGCCGGTGTTCGGTATCCGAGTGAGACGTGAGACGACCCCTGAGCCGGTGCTTGAGTGAGACGATAAGAGCGACCGCAGAGATTAATCATATTGCGGTGAATTATACTGCTAACTACACTGCGGACGCGAGAATCAAGCGAGATTGGTGGTAAGGCGGTCGGATGGAATTAAGACCGCAAGGGAAAAAAACGAAGGCGGAGAGGAACGTTGAAAGGCTACAACGCTATAATACGGTAACAGCGCAGCAACCTGAGAAGACACAGAGAGGCTGGATATAACGCTCTGTATACAGAATTTAAGAAGTATAGCAAGGCATGTGAAGTACACAGCAGTAAGATAGGATTTATCAATTGAATGTAGAATCCTATATTGAAAACCGACCTAACATTAGCTCAGTTGGACATTTTTTTTTTTTTTTTTTCCTGCCTACATGATCAGGCTAATTGAAATCTGCTTTATGAAGTCTGAAGTGTGAACAAATAAAGTCAGACGAAGTGAGAAGAGTGAAACCAGTGATATGAGTGATAAAATACAAGTTGGATTTGTTAAAACTTTGTAAAATATTCTGTAAAATACTCTGAGAAGTCAGAGAAGTCTGGGAAGCAGGAATAGCTTCTTAAAGCTCATTAATCTATATTTAAAGCTATATTTAAAGCTACTTAAAGCTAACTAAAGCTAATTAAAATATCAGAGCTTCGCAGACAATATCCTTAAAGCTTTCTAAAGCTGCTTAAAATCTCGTATGCCCAAGTAAGGACAAAGATACGGAAGCCTAAGAATAAATTGAATAATTGAATAGCTGAGATAGCTGAGATAATTGGACATATTTTGCGCTACTGCAGGTGTACAACTGCATCTATTGTCTTTATCCACAAGTAAATCAGAAAACATGGCGGCAAAAAAGGGGGAAAATAAAATAAACACAAGGAAGGACAAAGATAAAAAAGTCGACCCTAAATTTGAATCTAAAGCGGAATTAAAATCTGATAAACGCTTGTCAAATTATTTCTCTGCTCAAGAGAAGGATAGGAGACTAAGCCAAGTGGGCTCTACTAAACCTACAGAAGAAGATATGGTGAATACTAGCCTTATGGAGACAAATGGTCTAAATTCATACAGCAATTCCCCTCCAAGTGACCTCCTTAATATTGATAGAGTCACTCTTAATAACTGTTTTGACTCACAAATGGAAAAGATAAAGGGTGAGATGCAACTTTTTACAACGACCTTTAAAGAAGAAATAAAGAAAGTAAATATAAGAATTACATCCATCGAAGAGAAATTGGAATGTTCAATGCTTAGAAATAACCTTATGGAAGATAAAATTAATTCCTTGGAGCAGAAAATAAATAACCTGGAAGCTAAGATGGTTGACTGGGAAGACAGGTCGCGGAGGAGAAATATTAGGATTAGAGGAATCCCGGAAAGTATATCCAACCAAATGTTGATTGCTTACCTGACTGAGCTTTTAAACTTTCTAGATATGCAGCTGCAAAATATCCCAATTATATTTGAGAATGTTCATAGACTGCCAAAAGCAAGAAGCCTACCAGCTCATATCCCAAGAGAAGTTATTGTAAGTTTTCATTCTCCTTACTTGAAGACCAAATTCAACCAAGCTTTAAGGCTGAAATCTTTAAAAGACTCAAAATTTGAAGAGCTAAAATGCTTTAATGACCTATCTCTGGCTACTAGAACTGCAAGGAAGAAATTTCTAACTTGCACAGGCAAGCTTAGAGATCACAACATAAGCTACACATGGCTATTCCCTACGGGGTTAAAGTTTTATTATAAAGACAATCTAGAAGCCTTTAAAGAAGTTGATAGTTTACATCAATGGTTATTAACAAATAAGATGATATGAAGCTATTCGAGATAAAACGGATGAGGGAAGCAGAGGTTATTTAAAATTTCCCTTTTTTTTTTTTTTTTTTTTGTGAAGAGAAGCACTAAATAGTCTAACCAAACAAGGGGAATATTAAGTACCACAATAATTGTAAAACTACAAGGGTAACTTTAAAATTAGGGACACATATATATAAGTGAAATAGGGATATTAAGCAGAAATATAAATTAGAATATAAGGTTAGATAGTATATCCTAGATTATAATGAAATTATGTTGCACGGGGGAACACAACATGACATGCGCGTAAATAATATTATACACTAGTTTTTTAATATATGATTAAACAGGATACAATATTTCTGTAGAATATTAGAGCAAATTAATATGAGATACAAAGAAAATTCACGGGATGCTTGAAGCAGTGTTAAGTATACATAATATATATAGCACTAGTCAAATTAACCACTAAGATAAGCACGGTTGACTAAAGCTATGAAGTCTCTTGAGGATTGCAATAGATAAGTACTTAATATATTAGATTTTTAATTTTTGAAACATAAGATTTGCACCTTGGCTAAATGATTGAGGAGATTATGTCGGTCAGATTGTTTTCAATATACGTATTATATATAGCACTGAATTTAAATTAATCACTGAGATATGCACTGATGATTAAAGTTATGAAGTCACCTTAGGAGGGTAATGGATAAATAGTAAAGGAAGAAGGTATTAAACTCTAGTTTTTTTTTTTTTTTTTCTCTATGGAGTTTTTATTTATGTGGCTCTCGGGTTGATAATTAGGTATGATTCTCCTCTGCTTCCCTCCAACCGCTAACGCGGTTGAGTTTAACTGATTTATACCTTGGGTAGGTTACGATCAGTAAAGGGCTTTGGGATGGCTCCCATGGGAGGAGGGGTAGGGAGCCTTCGGGGGTTTAATGTTTTATGTACGTGCTGTTGTTTTGTTATGGTCTGGTCATATTTGGTCCTTCACATGAGATTGGCTCTATATGAGTTGTCCAATTCTAAATTTAATTAATTTTGGTAAAAATAGCAAGCCTGAACTAAGGGGAGTAGATCTAATAAAAAATTGTAATATTTTCTCTAGAGTCCTGGAAGATGAGTTTACTCCCTATAGCTGGACACAAGGGAGATTGTTCAACGCTAAACTGGATTAATAAGGATAAAGATAGTAACTTTGAACCTTAGAGGTTTAAATTCACCACAAAAGCGCAATATCCTTCTTAGGTTTTTGAAAGATGAATCTATTTCTATATGCGGGTTGCAAGAAACACATTGGGAGCAAAGAGGAAAAATACGCTTAAATTCTAAAGATTATCCATTTATTTTTTCCTCCTCCTTATATGATTAAAAAAAAAGAGGGGTTGCGACCCTCATTTCTTCTAGATTAGCTTTTAAATTTATTTACCAAATACAGGATCCAGAAGGTAGATATCATATATTAATTTGCGAAATAAATAATAGGATTTATACGATAGTGAATCTTTATGCCCCAAATTTAGCCCCGATTAAGTTTATTAGGAAACTAATGGATATAGTAGATAGAAAAAGACAAGGTATGGTAATCTATTTAGGGGATTTTAATTGTATGCTTAATCCAGAATTAGATAGGAGAAGCTTAATTAACGATCAATATAATAAACAGCTAAAAACCTCTGCTAAATCCTTCAGTAATTTGTTAAAAAATAGGGGCCTTTTGGATCTATGGAGGATTTTGCATCCTATGGAATATGATTATACTTGTTTCTCTGGGGCTCACCGGGTTTATTCCAGAATCGATCTAATAATATCAGACCCAAGCATATCTAAAATGCTTAAAAAAGTTTTTATTAAAAATATTGCATGGTCAGATCATAATGCGGTAATGATGATTCTGGATGATGGCTTGAAGGATAATAGATCAAATTGGAGATTAAACGACCGTCTATTAAGTATTTCAGAATATTTAAAACAAATTAAGTCAACTACAAATTTATTTTTTGAAGAAAATACTAAAGACGACTTACCATTACCTATTATATGGTGCGCCTATAAGTGTACAATTCGAGGACATTTTATTAAGATGGGGTCCCAGGAGAAAAAAAAGAAGGGAAATAATCTTACGCACCTATATATACAACTAGATCAATTAGAATATATAAATAAAAATAATCCATCTATAGATATTACTAAACAACTCGCTATCATTAAAGAGAGCATTAACGATTTACTAATCCAGAAAGCAAATTTTTCATTAGAAAAATTACGAAGGACATGGTATTACAGGGGGAATAAAGCGGATAAATTACTCTCGAATAGGTTAAAGAAGGATTCTACCAAGATGAGGGTAACTAAAATCATTCAAGAAGATAAGGTTCTTTTGAATCCATCAAAAATAGGTCAGGCTTTCCAAGCATTTTATACTAAACTATATAATCTGCCAGACAGACATTCCCCAGTTAATCTCTTAGAATATTTAGAGAAGTTAAATCTGCCAAAAATAACGAAATCTCAATTACAAAACTTAAATGACCCTATAAACCTGGAAGAGGTCAACCAAGCTATAGATAGATTGAAAATCGCTAAGTCTCCAGGTCCGGATGGTTTTACAAATAAATTTTATAAATCTATGAAAGAAAACTTAGCAAATACCCTGAGGGAGATATTTAACGAGTTTATGTTGAAAGGTAATATCCCGCCGGAGATGCTGAGAGCTAACTTGGTCCCTATTCTTAAACCACAAAAGTCCTCAGAGTTAATAACCAATTATAGACCTATCTCGTTATTGAATGAGGATTTAAAACTTTACTCCTCAATAATGGCAAGTAGATTAAATGGAATTATGATGGATATAATCCACAGGGACCAAGTGGGCTTCATTTCTAAACGCTCTTCGGTATATAATGTCAGACGTCTCATAGACGTAGTGGATTGGGCCCAATCGAGGAAATATTCCCTCCTGATCCTGTCTTTAGATGCAGAGAAAGCATTCGACAGGGTCAGGTGGGACTTCCTCGATGCGGTCCTACAAACCTTTGGCTTCTTTGGGAATATAAGAAAAGCAATACTGGCCTTATATTCAACTCCTTCTGCAAGAGTTGTGGGAGCGGGATTCAGCTCAGATTTTTTCTCGTTGAAAAACGGGACGAGACAGGGCTGCCCGCTCTCACCTCTTCTCTACTTATTGACAATAGAAGTTCTAGCGGTAGCAATAAGGAAAAACGAGGCAATAAAGGGCCTTAATTTAAAAAACGATTGCATTAAATTAACAATGTATGCTGACGATATTGTATTAACTCTGGCAGATCCTTTAAACTCCTCTATAGCTTTTTTTAATACCTTAGATGAATACGCTTTACACTCAGGCTATAAAATTAATGTCAATAAGTCGACTGCATTACTAATGAATACCCCTCAGAATACAAGGGCATTACTTAAGCAGAGATATGAATTTAATTGGGCGGAGGTTTCTTTTAATTATTTGGGAATTGAAATAGCAAATAATGTTAATATTATCATGGAACTCAATTTCCTATCTCTTCTTAGAACTACGGCAAAGAAACTAAAAAATTGGAAAAATTTAGAGATCTCATGGTGGGGCCGTATCAATGTAGTTAAATCTTATATCATCCCAAAATGGGTTTATCTATTTAGAATGGTGGCATTACCGTGCCCGGACAGCTGGTTGACCTTAGCTCAATCCCTATTGAATACATTTATATGGTTACATAAGCCTCCAAGAATATCCCAAAAATGCTTAGCCTTAAAAGTGAAAAAGGGGGGCCTGGGGGTCCCTATTTTAAAAGACTTCCAAAATGCTGCGACCTTTACACACGCAATCATTACTCAACTAAATGATAGTAAGAATGAGATATGGTACAAGATAGAACAAGACCTTACTTCAACTGAGGGTCCACCGATGGAGCTGTCTGTGCTCTTTTGGCCCCTAAAATTACAAACCGATCACAAAGTAAACCCCATTTCATCAAGTGTTATTCTGAATAATGTTCTAAGGGGGTGGAAAAAAACTAAAAATTCACTAGGTCTTTATAATAAGTTAATCCCTTCCCTTTCTTTAAGAAATATAGCTTACTATATGACTAATTTTAACGTAAAAAGCTGGATTGAAAAAGGCATATATAAATTTCAAGATTTAATGGATAGAAACGGATGGATGGATTTCCAAACTTTAAAACAAACATATAAAATAGACAATAGGGAGACTTTTAATTACCTTAGACTAAAAGGCTTTTGTCATCAATATGTTACCACAGAAAGGTGTGATCGCTTAAGGGATATAGGAAACATCCTTGATAGGGATTCTCCAAAAAAACTATTATCTATGGGATTAAATTTATTACAAAAAAACTCAGATGAACCCTTAAAAGCTATAATTAATTCCTGGCAAAGAGATTTGGGAAATCAGATTACTTGTAACCAATGGAGAGAAGCTCTAAATCTTACCTATAAACATACCCATTGTCTTAATCTGAAGGAATGCCATTTTAAAATCATAAATAGGTGGTATATGGTCCCCAGTAAAATCGAGAAGTTTAACGCCAATTGCTGGAGATGCAATGTGGAATGTGGGAACTATCTACACATATGGTGGGACTGTAGGTATATACAGAAGTTTTGGAAAATGATTTTATCTAAGATAAAACTTATTACTTTGATTGATTTACCTATGGTACCACAGATATGCCTTTTGCAATTAGATATCTATCAGGTTAGTGGTAGTTCAATGCCGGTTATCTTGCATATACTTCTAGCCGCGAAACTTTCTATCGCAAGGTATTGGAAAATGGAGTTGGTGCCCTCATGGCCCGTAGTTAAGGAACAAATTAAATATCAATTGAAAATGGAAGCTGGGTTAAATATAAAATATCAAGAACGCTATAACTCCTGGGTGGCGAAGTTGGAGGCTGTTGTTGACTTATAGATAGATGTCCAAAATTTCTTTGGACCTAAGTTAATATTGATACTGGGCACAATAAAAAATCCTGGCATCTATCT